ATATATATTTTTATTGATTTGTTTTTAGGGAGAGAGAGGAAGGGACCTCTCCCTTCCTCTAGAAGGGAGATAGAAACATCGCTGAGAGAGAAACATTATCAATTGTCTGCCTCCTACATTCCCCCCTACCGGGGATAGAGCCCACAACCCAGGCATGTGCCCTGACGGGGATCAAACTAGGTGACCTCTTGGTTCCTGGGAGGATTTTTTTTTGTGGGGGGGAGCTTCAATCAAAAGGACTTGGGCCCCTGGTGGAGGATTTTTTTTTTGGGGGGGGGACACTGATTTTATTTTTTGTAGTCATAGTCGGGGGAGAGGCTATGCATGTGTAGGAGCAGGGGTTTCATAGCAAATCTCTATACATTCCTCTCAATTTTGCTGTGAATCTAAAACTGCTCTAAAAAAAACTTTATAAAGTTGTGGTACAATAAAAAATAAAAGAGTAGTAATACATTTTCTCTTTGCAAACCAATCCAGGTTTACTGAAACTACAGATATTTTCTGTTTATTCATTTTTGTTAATCCCCATCCAAGGATATTTTTTCCATTGATTTTTAGAGAGAGTGGAAGGGAGAGAGAGGGAGAGAGAGAGAGGGAGGGGAAGGGAGAGAGCAAGAGAAGCATCAGTGTGAGAGAAACACATCAATTGGTTGCCTTCCACAGGTGCCCCAACTGGAGCCAGAGATCTATCCTGCAACTCAGGTGCATGTCCTTGACTGGGAATCAAGCCCACAACCTTTCTGTATCCTAGCTGATGCTCTGACCACTGAACCCACCGGCCAAGGCCAGATAAGGCTTTTTAAAGTATAGTTATTCATAATCTAATCACTTATAAAAATTTTGGTGTGTGTGTATGTGTAATTAAAAAGGATACAATGTTTTTTAAAAAGTTATGGTGGATTTCCACTTCCAACCAAGATGTAACAGAGACCAGATTTCTGTCTTTGCCTGAACACCCCCCCTCCACCTACATAAAACAAGATAAAATACATGAAAAAATGGTTTTTTAGACATTGACTATCAGACAACAAAGTGCTCTCTGGGAGATAGGAAATGAACAAGGTGAGCACTATAGTTGTACAGCTTACTGCCTGAGTTTCCAGGCTGTAGTATAGGAAGAGGAACTGAAGTGGATCCTAGCAGGCTTTCTAATTCGAGGAGATGGAGCTGAGAATCTGGGAGAGCAACGCAGCTAAAGTTTATAGAACAGAATACCAGAGATCACAATATAGCACATAAAGAGAATCCCAGCAATCAGAGAGTCCTCCTCCAATGTTTAGCAGAGTACTGATCAGGACAGTATGGAATGAAAATATCTAAGTAAGGGGAATAATCATCTAAAATTATTAGAGGTTCCCTGGCTGGTTTGGATCACTTGGTTGGGCATTGTCCCATGCACCAAAAGGTTGCTGATTTGATTTCCAGTCCGGGTATAAGCCCGGGTTGCGGGCTTGAACCCCTGTTGGAGGCATGCAAGAGGCAACTGATGTTACGCTACACATCAATGTTTCTTTTTCCTTTCTCTCTCTTTAAAAAGCAATAAACTATTCTTTAATAAAATCCTATCTAATAAAAGAGAAACATGGTAATTAGTGTACGACTGCTACCCTTCCCATTGGCTAATCAGGGGGTATGCAAATTAACTGCCAGCCAAGATGGCGGCCAGCAGCCAGGCAGCTGGAAGTGAACATGAGGCTTGCTTGCTTCAGAGACAGAGGACTCCAACGTTCCCCGCCTGCCTTGTCGGCCTCTGAGCTGGCAGTTTGAAACATTGTAACAAATATAGAAGCTAAACAAAACCCCAGAAACCAGCTTTCAGCCGGCCGGGATCTCAGAGCTGGAGATGATACAGTGTTTCGATTATAGAACCAAAACAAACGAGATACCTGCTTTCAGCAGCAGAGGCCTTGGCCCAGAATAAAAAAGAAAAAGAAAAAAAGGAGCGGTTGGGAGCTTCAGTCACCCGCCAGCCTGAAAACAGCCCTCAGCCCCTCACCCAGACTGGCCAGATACCCCAGTGGGGACCCCCACCCTGAAGGGTGTGTGACCAGCTGCAAACAGCCATCATCCCCTCATCCAGGCTGGCCAGGCACCCCAGTGGGGACCCCCACCCTGATCCAGGACACCCTTCAGGGCAAACCAGCCAGACCCTACCCATGCACCAGGCCTCTATCCTATATAGTAAAAGGGTAATATGCCTCCTAGCACCGGGATCAGCAAAGCCGCGAGGCCTCCCGGCACCGGGATCAGCGTGACAGGGGGCAGCGCCCAAACCCCCTGATCGCCCTGCGGCTCTGTGTGCGACAGGGTGCGGCGCCCCAACCCTCTGATCGGCCCTGCTCTGTGTGTGACGGGGTAGAGCCATAACCTCCCCATCGGCCCTGCCCTGAGTGTGACAGTGGCGGCACCCCAACCCCCTGATCCGCCCTGCTCTGTGTGTGACAGGGAGCGGTGCCCCAACTCCCCTATCGGCCCTGCTCTGTGCGTGACAGCGTACGGAGCCCCAACCCCCCCTGATGGGCCCTGCTCTGTGCATGACAGGGGGCAGCGCCCCAACCCCCTGATTGGCCCTGCTCTGTGCGTGACAGGGGGTGGCGCTGCAACCTCCCCATCGACCCTGCCTTGAGTGTGACAGGGGGCGGTGCCCCAACCCCCCAATCGGCCCTATCCTGAGCGTGACTGAGGGTGGCATCGCAACCTCCCAATCCGCCCTGCTCTGTGCATGACAGGGGGTGGCGCCCCAACTCCCCAATTGGCCCTGCTCTGATCCTGACCAGGGGCTGCACCTAAGGATTGGGCCTGCCCTCTGCCACCTGGGAGCAGGCCTAAGCCAGTAGGTTGTTATCTCCCGCGGGGTCCCAGACTGCGAGAGGGCACAGGCCGGGCTGAGGGACCCCTCTCCCCCCCGAGTGCACAAATTTTTGTGCGCCAGGCCTCTAGTAAAATAATGCCTAGGTAACAATGCCTAGGACTCACATAGTTCTGGAAATAGAACCTGTTCATACCAGCCAGACTAGAAAACCTCTAATTCAAGCATATTTGACATGCTTGCTCTAATTCATGGAGCACTGGGTAGAGAACTCAGAAGAGTGTTTATTGTCTCAGTAATGGGAATCCTACACTGAGCACTACTTGAGAACTACCTAAAAATCAGAAAAGTATGACCTGAAAGTATCAAATTGATCTCAAGGAACTTCATTGCTTCCCAGAGTAGAGGTAAAAATATTTATCGGAATACAAATCTACCCTGCACACAAGAAGTTAAAGTTCACAATGTTCATCATCCAGTAATAAATTACCAAGCATTCAAGATGTAGGAAAACACAACCTATATTAAAAAGAATACACAATCAACTTAAACTGACACAGAAATTAACAGAGGACATTAAAACAGCTCTTATAATTATATTCCATATATTCAAAAAGTTAAGTAGAGACATGGGAGATATAAAAAAATCCAAATCCAAATTCTAAAGATAAAAACTATGTCTAGGAAGAAAACAACATATTGGATAGTACCAACATCAGATTAGACATTACAGAAGACAAGAGTAGTGATCTTGAAGGCATAGCAATGAAAGCTATCCAGAATGAACCACACAGGGGAAAAAACAAAACTAAAAAATATTGAAAGAACATCAGTGAGCTACAGAAATTCTTCAGGTAGCTTAATATAGAGGTAATTGGAATCCTCAAATGAGGAGAGAGAATAAATATATTTGAAAATTAATGGTTGAAAACTTTTAAAACTTAAGAAATACTCTAAACACACAGAATCAGAAAGTGTAGCAAACCCTAAACACAAGAAACACAAAACTACACCAATGCACATAATTAAATTGCTCAAAACCAGTAATAAAGAGAATATTTTAAAAGCAGCCAGAGAAAACAGGCACCCTACATACAAAGGAACAAATTAAGCAGAATATCAGAGTCCTCAGTAGAAGCAGTGTAAGCAAGAACACAGTGGAGCAACAATTTAAAAATAACTA